GTACTGATGGGTTAACAGCGATTTATTACAAGATGTTATCTGAAGAAATGATAGAACCATTAAAGGTACTTTTTAATGATATTTTATCTGGAGCAGAATTACCTCCATCTTGGAGAACGGCCTTCATATCATTAATTCCAAAGGATGACCAGGATCTGTCCTAACCTAAAAATTACAGGCCTATATCTCTTTTAAATATAGATTATAAGATTTTTGCAAAGATACTGGCAAATAGATTAATGCAGGTTTTGAAACAATTGATTCATACTAACCAATCTGGATTTATAATGGGGAGATATATGAAAAACAATGTAAGACAAATTGTTAATTTAATAGAGTATTTGGATAAGAACAACCAAATCCCTGCTGCTTTAATATTTATAGACGCTGAGAAAGCTTTTGATCAATTAGATTGGAATTTTTTACTGAAAGTTGTAGAGGAAATGAATTTTGGAGATAAATTCTTGTCTGCTCTCAAGGCCATTTATCAACAACAATCGGCACAAATTATAATTAATGGGGGATTAACAGACGTATTTAAAATAGGAAAAGGTACAAGACAGGGTTGTCCTTTATCCCCCTTGCTATTTGTATTAACAATGGAGATTTTACTTATTAAAATTCGAGACTCATCTAGATTAAAAGGAATAAAACTAAGTAAGATTGATTATAGGCTGAGAGCTTTTGCTGATTTGGTTGTGACATTATCCCATCCAACAGATTCGGTCAAAGATCTGGTTGAAATTTTAGCACAGTATGGACAGGTCTCTGGTTTTAAGGTAAATAAGAATAAAACTAAAATATTATTGAAAAATATGTCTAGGAAGGGAAAAGATTTTATAGCTGAAACAATCAGTTATGAAATAGTTAATAAGAAGTATTTAGGAGTTTATATTACTTCATCTAATGAAAAATTGTACAAGAATAATTATGAATGCTTATGGGTTAAAGTTCAAAAAGATTTAAATGATTGGCAAAAGCTACAACTATCGTTATTGGGGAGAATTTCAGTAGTGAAGATGAATGTTCTACAAAAGTTTCTTTTTTTGTTTCAGATGATACCCATTTTAAAGAAGGATGCTAATTTGGATGAGTGGCAGAAGGGTATTAATAAATTTATTTGGGGTGGGAAGAAATCAAGGGTAAAGTTTAAGATTTTACAAGATGCTCGAGAAAGAGGTGGACTTAAATCTGAATGTAATCTGAAATTATATTATGATGCGGCCACTTTAACTTTAGTAAGTGACTGGCTTAATTTAACAAATAGAGATATTTTGTTCTTGAAGGGTGGGATTTATTATATGGTTGGCATGCATATTTAATTTTTGATAAGAATGTAGATTCGGTCTTTAAGTCACATATTTTAAGATATGCTTTACTTCGAAAAAATATTATTATAAATTAAATTATAAAATACCTATTTGGGGGATTCCTGGACAAGCAATCCAGGGGGTTTCTAAGGGGGTGAATTTTGACAACATTTCGTATAAAGAGTTACTTATTTGGTCGGGCATTGATTGGCAATTAAAGTCTTCTGATGTGTTAAGGCAAGAAAACATTTTACAATCGTGGTTTCAATATTTGCAAATCGTGCAGAGATGGACTTTGGATAAAAAAGTGGAAATTACTTTAGTAGATGAAAATTTGGTAATTCAGATCAAGGATCAGAAATGTGCCCATATTAAAAGAATTTATAATAAGTTAATAAAATTGGATTCAGAAAGAGAGTTCGTTATCACAAACCCATTTCCGTATTACAATTCCAAGCTATAATCTAACAATTAATTTTCATTTCTATTATAAATCTAAATCCTAAATATTACATCAATCAATATCTCTAAAAATCTCCTTAACCAATTAAGTAAAATTTTAAGTCCCATTTTTAAATTTAACTCTGGCTTTCTTTTTGTGCCACACAGACTTCCATGCCAGAGCCTTTAAATCCTCAGATGCTCTGAGGTTGTTTGAATCAAGGGAGAACATCCAGTTGTCAATTTTTCAAAGGAGCTGGCCCCTTTATAGTTATTAGGTTGTTGCCTTAATAATTCAATTGTCCATGTTTGATTTGGGATATTAATCATCAGTTCAATCTGGTCTTCTTCTTCTTGTTCCAGTTCCATCTGACTAGAATAAAAAGTCATGCCAAGTGGTGTGATTATTATATGATTGTATGAGTTGTCTAGTTTCTCAATATATTGTGTTTGATGGTCAGTTCCTGGTGCTTTTAAAGTTACAGGTATTTTAGTTAAAGTCAGTGTTTGATTCTGAAAGTTCTCAATAGGTTGTAGATATTGTTGTACAGCATCCTCTTTGATGTTAACTTGTTCCTCTTCTGTTATTTTTTGATTAGTAAGTTGATCAGTTGGAGTCTGAGATTCAGTTTGTAGTTTCTGGGTAGCATCTTTGGCTTTCACTCTGGCATTTGTTAGCTCAGTGGCTTCAATAATTTTTTCAAGTATGAGTTTATAGTCAAGTTATGGGTAAAGTTCCTCCATTTCTATAGTGATTAGAGATAGTCTTTTAGTGGAGGCAATGTTTAGTAAAAGTCAGCCAATGTCCACCTTCACAATTTCTAAAAGTTATTTTCACCACCAGCTGTTTCCACTTCTTATCTTTTCCTTAGATAATATAAAGAACAAATCAAGAGAGTCAACAGGCTTCACAGTCAAAGAAATTAATTGCTGTACCAGGCTTGGTCACAAGATGTCCCCAGTAGACCGTGAAGTCTTTTTTCCAGACACCAGTTAGGCTTTTATTCAGTTAAAAAGAGAAAAAGAGATATTTTTCAAAGTTAGTAGATAGATAAAAAATGCTGAATCTCTATAATAGAAACTTTTTGGGACCCCCAAGTCTCAAAAAATAGGGGAAAAAATGAAAATCCAGTTATTTAGTTATTAAAATTAAATGTTTTTTGTTCCAAAGCTTAGATTCTCAAGGTATGCAAATGCCGCTGTATTAAGAGTGGGGAAGAAGTTTCAGGAGGCTTTCACAGGAAGGTAGTTAGGGTAAAAGAAAGGTAAGGAAAGGTCTCACCCAGATCTTCCACGGTGCTTCGTTGTGCTTAGTAGTGTTTTTGGCTTTTGGCTGGTATGGCTATGTTAATGGCCGAATTTTTCTTCATTGATCCAAATGAGCTGCCTTGGATCAAATGGAAGGGCTGCCACCTTTCCGCGATCAAATGAGGGTCCTCCTCAGTGATGGTCGCCTCTCTAGGGCAACTTTTTACCCTTTCCAGGGTCTTTCAACAAAGGAAAACTGGATGGCAGAGAGAGGGCTCTCTCTGCGCATCCGCTGGCACCGCGATCTGGAACCAGAAGCCAGGGTGGGATTGTTCTTGAAAATTACAATTAGCTTGCTGAATGCCTTCCAACTACATTTAACACATGGGTTTCCTGCTTTGTGCAGCTCTTGTATATGTCTTTGTAGCTCTTCTGGGTCTTGTGAGAAGAGAACAACATCATCTGCAAATCTTAAGAGATTTAAATAGGCATCATTGATTTTTATTCCATCTTTTGCTCAGTCTAGTTTGCGAAATACTTCTTCAAGGCAGGCTGAGAAAAGAATAGGTGATATTTATCATCTTGTCATATACTTCACTCTATATTTATTTCCACTTTAAAATCATTAAGACAAATTGTTGCCATTGTTTTTTCATATATTGATTGTAGTAAGTTTATGTAAGCCGTGTCTATGCCTTAGATGAGCAATGCATTAATTATTGTTTGCTGGAATACTGAGTCAAACACCTTTTCGTAGTCAATGAAAGCCATGCACAGAGGCATGGTGTACTCGTTGTGCCTTTCAATGATTTGCTGACCTATCTGGATGTGATCCATTGTGCTGTAGCCACTTCTGAATCCTGCCTGCTCTTTTGGCTGTGCATCATTCAATATTCTTTTTGCTATTATCTTGGTGAAAACCTTATAATGATTGAAAGACTGCTTATTGGGCAATAGTTCTTTAAATCATCTTCAGCCCCTTTCTTGTGTATAAGATTTTTTCCATGCATTGGGTATTTTTTCTTCTCTGGGGCATCTAAAGTATAATTTTGCTGATATCTTGTGTAAACTGTGACCACCAGCTTTCAGCATTTCAATCATAACACAGTCATTTCCTGAAGCTTTGCCATGTTTCATTGATTTTATGGCATTTGACACTTCCTCCACTAGGATATCTAGCATTTCCTCTTTTAGGGGTCTTGTTACTTTTGAATGATCTTGATCTTTGTGTAGTTCTGAATAGATTTTTCCAATTATTTCTAACATTTCCTTTCTTGTTCTACAAACAGACATCTTAAGAATATGGAATAGATATAATCCCAACCTATGCCTGAAACACCTTTGTGGATCTCAGATCAAGCTGTATTCCATAGAAAAAAAATAACAGGAATCGTTTAATGATTAATTACAGTGGTATCTCAATATTCATTATTAATTGATTCCTGGAGGCATCATGAATACCAAAAATGATGAATACCAAATAAAATTTCCCCCAAATGAATAATGTAAATTAATTTAATGCAATCTCAAATCAAAGATAACATACATTTTAAAGGCAGTATATAAAAAGATAGGGTTGTATATCATTATTTTATATGAGAAATAAACCTAAAAATTAATAAATACTTAGATTAAATAAAATAAAAATTTTATTTTACCTGTACCAATGAGAAACAAAGTGCAAAAAATAGACAAAATTATCATAGAAACTAAGAAGACAATAGGGGGATGTCCAAAAGTGCCATTTCAAAAGGCTACTGGATTTGTTTTTCCTTAAAAATGTTTTGCTTCTCATCCAAGAAGCTTCTTCCATTCTGACTGAATGATGAAAATGGAAGGATTTATATTCTCTGCAGTTTTCTGATAATTAGCATTCTTTCTGAGAGTTGTTGAGGCTACTTGGAAGTTTATCTGTGCCCTCAGGATCACCTGAATAGTGCAAATGGAACTGCTGAAAGGACTATGTTGTAAACAGGAGATAAGTGTGTAAGGATCTGCCTCAATTAGATCTCCCAAGAAAACAGAACTCTTGAAACAGGCATCGTTTTAAAAGAAACTTTTATTGGGAGTTAGTGATGGCTAGAAAGCAAAGCAAGGTCTAAAGATTTGGCATGCAAAGGACTACATCAAAAAGATAATTCAGAACTCCTCCCCCCAATGTCCAACCATCCGACTGAAATTCAGCCAATCCATAGGTGCCGCAGTATTATGAAAAGCTGGAGATTTAGTACCCTTCTCAAGGTCTCTTTCTGTTTCATTTCCCAACAGTCCCAGGCTCCATTGTCTGGAAATAAGGCAGATGTTTTCATGTCATATTCCTCTCACCAAGGGGGGGGCACCCCATACAGAGCAGAGCAAGGCAAATCATCTTCCCCCCATGCAAGCACCCTCCCAGCATTATGGCAGGCCCCAAAAATGAATACATAAGCAGAAGCAGGAAAGAAATAAAGGGAAATGAATAAATAGGTATTTGAGGGGTTCTGACATACAGCTGACCCTAATAAAAAGACAAATCCACCTGCAAAACAAAAATGGGAAGGGGAAAAAAAAGAAATACATCAGTCAGGTTTATTGGGATAGCACTCATGAAAATGTTTGAGCAATGCAGGAGTGCAGATGTGCTTTTTATAAACCCATTCATTTTGTGAAGCAGGTAAATCTTTCCAAGCCACTAAATACTATGTGGCCCCATAATGTTTGCTTGGATCTAAAATATCTTTAATTTCAAAGTTTCTTCACCTTCTACCATAATGGACTGAGGGGCAGGAGTGGCGGCAGGTTGTAGTTTAGAAGTGATCTCAGGTTTTAACAAACTGCAATGGAAAACTGGGTGGATTTTTCTTAAACTCTTAGGGAGTTCCAGCTCCACTGTGACAGGATTGATAATACGTTTAACGGGAAAAGGACTGATATATTTCGGCCCCAGCTTCTTCAATGGCTGTAGTGACTGTAAAAATCTAGTAGAAAGGTAAACCCTATTTCCCACATGGAAAGACTTAGGCTCCATTCTTTTTTTTTTTTTTTATCAGCCTGTGCCTTGTAAACTTCTCTGGCTTTGTGTAAAGCTTTCCGAATTACTGGTCAGATATTCTGCAACTGATGAACCCAATCCTTAAGGAAGGGGATAGCAGGCTTCTTAGCAGGTAACTCAGGCATAGGAATGAAGCTCTGGCCATTGGAAAGGAGTGAACCCAATACTAGAGTGCACTGCATTATTATAAGCCACTTCAGAAAAAGGCAGCAATTCAGTCTAGTTGTCCTGTTAATAATTAATAAAATGGAGGTTCTGTTCTAGAACTGAGTTCGTTCATTCTGTCCCCCCATTCATTTGATGATGATGACTACATGACAGTTCCTGATCAGAACCTAAGCAATCCAAAAAGGCCTTTCAAAATGTAGAGGTCAACTGAACCCCCTCATCCAATATTATACATTTTGGGGCACCATGGAGATGATAAATATTCTGCACAAATAACTTAGCCAAAGTCTTTGCAGTTGAGATCTTCTGACATGGGATTAAATGGGCTTGTTTAGAGAACAAATCAGTAACAATCCAAATGACAGTGTTTCCCATAGTTTTGGGTAGCTCCACAATAAAATCCATGGAGATCTCTCTCCAGAGCACTGAAGGGCTACCGGCTGCAGGAAGCCAGGCATTTTTCCCTGCCTCCATTTGGCAGCAGCACAAGTTGGGCAGCTGGCTACATACTGTAGCTTTCAATGTCTTTATTTAAGGATGGCCACCAAAATTGCTGCATAAGCAGGTGAAGAGTTTTTGCAAACTCAAAGTATCCAGCTATTTTCGAATCATGACCTTCATGATTCTTAGTCTCTGACTTGCAGGTACATATAGCTTCCCCCCAACCCAAGCCAAACCATCTTTCATTCAGCAGAGATTTTTGTGTCCTCTGAACCACTCATCCTTCTCCACATTGTTTAATGGTTTTCTTAGCCTGCACCCTCGTAGTGATTGGGGCCACCAGGTGCTGTGGGGAAAGGAGAGGTTTAATCACCTCTGCCTTGACAATGTTATACTGTAGCATTTTTGACAAAACATCTGCCAGGAAGTTTTTTCCCCTGGCAGGTAGTGGAAAGAGAAGTTAAAATGATGGAAGTGCTGGGCTCAGCATGCCTATATTGGAGACAACCACCTGGGTTTTTTTTTTTAAAGCTTCGAGATTCTTATGATCAGTCCAGACTGGAAAGAGATTTTACTCTCCTCTAAGAAATATCTCCAGGTTAAGAAGGCCCATCTCACTGCATATGCTTCCTTCTCCCAAGCCACCCACCATTGTTCAGTCACTGACACTTTCTTGGATGTGTAGACACAAGGTTGTAATTGACCCTGTTGGTTTTTCTGCAGTAACACCACACTCACTGCCACTTCACTAGTACCTGCCTGAATCACAAATGGCTGTTCCAGATCTGGGTGTTTCAGGACCGGTTCTACAGAAAAAAGTCTCTTAAATTTCTCAAACTTGGTTTGACATTCTGCTGTCCATTTTAGTGGCTGGCTAGGCTTCAGTTTATCCCCTCCCTTAGTCTTCAGTAAGTTTGTGATAGGGAGTGCAATTTGAGCAAATGAAGGAATAAATTGCTGGTAAAAGATAGCAAACCCCAGAAAACTTTGTAGCTGCTTCACAATGTGGTGAGAGCCTGCACTTTCTCTGGGTCCATCTCCACCCCCTTGTGGGAGGTGTGGTAGCCCAAGTAATCAGTTCTATCTTTATGGAATTCAAATTGAGAGCTAGGTGTACAGTTTGGCAGCACAGAACTTCTTTAGGATTGCCCTAACCAGTTTTCCATGTTCAGCTTTGGTTTTGGTATAAATCAAGATATTGTCCAAATACACCTCTCTCTGTTGAGAGAGGGATGTTCAACCTCTCTTTCAAACCAAACCGAAGAAGCTTCTTGGATGAGAGGCAAAACATATTCAAGAAAAAACAAAGAAAGTCAGTTTCTTTTTGAAAAAACACCTTTAGGACAACCATAATCTGGATGACTGAGAATCTCCATAGTTTGCAAGGGGATATACAAGAGCTGCCATGTGACTAATGGGTAACCCTTTGTTTTGGTTGGAAAGGGTAGTGAGTCATGAAGCAACTGACATCGACAAGTTCATCACCTCATCCTACTAGTTCAGTCAGGGAAGGTATGTTGCAGATCCTGTCAGTTAAAGAACTTCGACTGGTGGGTTCTAGGAAGACAGCCTTCTATGTTGTTTTTCCAAGCCTGAAATCTATTCCTGGAGGTGAATCAGCCCCCCTGCAGTTGGCCTTCCAAAAAAGAATTAAAACATGGCTCCGCAGTCTTGTGTGGGGAGCCCAAAAGATCACGCTGTCATGGGGCTGGTTAGTGCCATAAGAGCCTTTACTTTGCCTTTGTCAACCAATTTTTAACAGGATTAATTATTTTTGCCTCCTTAAAAATTAGTAATTTTTTAAAATTTTAACTCATAATTTTAACTATTTTGATTTTTAAAATATATTATATACTGTTTTATATTTCAATATTTTATTGTATATTGCCCAAAGTCTCTCTTTGAGGGGCAGTTTAGAAATGTGAAATAAATAAATGTGAAATAAATAAAAAAAATGTAGACTGGAAATCTGAACAATATGAAGGGAAATTTAATTAAGTTTAGTGGACATGTAAAAAAGCTTAAAAATGAATTCAAATACATACATTCAGAGGAATTTAAAATTTAATATTCCATTAAAGCCAGAATTTTTCTTTTTGGGAATTTGCTATTGTTGGATAAATAGTTAGAAAAAAGCTATGGAAGATTTTTCAATTAATTGATTACTGCAATGGGATTATTATATGCACAAATATGGAAAGATTCAGGACTACTCACTATGGAGAAATGACTGGTGAAATTGATACAACTTCTTGAGTTGGACAAACTAGCTCCTTTCATCAGAAAAAGGATATTTGCATTTATTGGAGACTGGAAATTCTTTGTGGAGTTTTTTCTTAAAATTGAAAAAAAATGTGACTTATGGTTTTGAGCAAGGATCCCCAACCCTCGGTCCATGAACTGGTACTAGTCTGCAGTCCATTGAGAACTGGGCCATGCAAGCAGCAGGCAAGCATGAAAAGCTCCATTTGTGCATGTAGCATGCATGTGTGCAAAACTATCTCCTCCTGTCCGCCGCCGCCAGTCTGTGGAACCGGAAAGGTTGGGATTGCTGGTTTTGAGGATTAGAAAGAATGAGTCATGTCAATAAAAGAGTTATGATGTAAATTCAAAGAAAGAAGTTAAAATATAATTGTATATATAACTGCTGTGAAGATTATTGAAAGCTAATTCTTTATATATTTATATATTTCTTTATATACTTTCTCCTTTTCTACCTTATTTTGTTATTGTGCTTTTAGCTTTTTCTGTTATTCTCTTTCTTTTTCATTTTTTCTGTCTAATTTAATGCTTATCAGCTTTTATTATTGCTTTAAAAACTTTTGGTAAAAATTATATGTATATTAAAAACTACATATGATTCTACAGGTAGACTTCAACTTATCACCACAATTGAGCCCAAAATTTATGTTGCTAAATGAGAAATTGATTGTGAGTTTTGCTCCATTTTATGACTTTTCTTGCCACATTTGTTAAGCAAATCACTACAGTTGTTATATTAGTAACATGGTTGTTAAGTGAATCTGGTTTCCCCATTGACTTTGCTTATCAGAAGGTTGCAAAAGGTGATCACATGACCCCAAGATACTGCAACCATCATAAATGTGAGTCAGTTTTCAAACATCCAAATGTAAATTACGTGACCATGGAGATGCTGCAATAGTCATAAATGTGAAAAATGGTCACTTTTTTCAGTGCTGATGTAACTTCAAATGGTCACTAAGTGAACTGTTGTAGGTTGAGGACTACCTATATTTCAAACACATTCATAAATATATTTGAACAGATTTCTTATAATGTTACCGTATTTTCCGGCGTATAAGACGACTTTCTAGGCCACAAAAACCTTCTTAAAAGTTGGGGGTTGTCTTATACGCCGAGTCGTCTTATACGCCGGAAAATACGGGTATTCTATTTTATTCCTTTACACATGTGGTTTGGTATATTACTCATCAAGTTTTCTCTCCCCCCCCCTCACTCAAAAAGAGTCCTTGATTGATAGAGTGGCAGTGGAGAGAGCAATTAAACTCTAAGCTGTTTGTTTCAGCAATCCGTCCCCGCAGCTCACCTCTAGCAGGCTTGTGGTTTGCAGCTGCTTTTTGCTAACTTGAAGTCACAGGCTGGTAAATGCCTGTGGGTCTCAATCTGTCTCCTCGCTGCTTCGCACTTTCCGAGCTGGAGATCAGGGTGGGAGGGAAGGATTGGAGGGAGAGGGAGGAGGGAAAGGAGGCGTGTGTGTGTTGTGTGTGTGTGCACGTACGCTTCTCCTCGCTGCTTTCTGAGCTGGGAAGGATTGGAGGGAGAGGGAAGAGGGAAAGGAGGCCACGCGCACGCACACACACGCTTTGCATTTTCCGAGCTGGAAATCGGGGTGGGAA